CCTCAGGTAAGTCGGACCCTAGCCATGTAGGGCTTTAAAGGTGAGTACCAGCACTTTGAAGCGGATTTGGTATGCTATTGGCAGCCAGTGCAGCACTTTCAACCCAGGCCGGATGTGTTTCCACTTGGGGAGACCCATCAGCAGCCTGGCCGCCATGTTCTGCACTAGCTGCAGCTTCCGGATCTGCGACAAAGGCAGCCCCATGTAGAGAGCGTTACAGCAGTCTAGCCTTGAGGTGACCGTCACATGGATCACTGTAGCCAGGTCATCGTGGTCGAGGAAGGAAGCCAACTGCTGAATCTGCCTCAGATGGTAAAATGCAGATCTGGCAGTGGCTGCCACCTGGGCCTCCATAGTTAAGGAGGGATCCAGGAGCACTCCCAAACTCCTAACCTCTGACGCTGGCACCAGAGGCACCCAATCGAAGGTCGGGAGAGGGAGCCCCAACCTCGAACCGTTTCAGCTCAGACACAGGACCTCCGTCTTCACTGGGTTTAGTTTCAGCCGGCTCAGCCTGAGCCACCCAGCCACAGCCTGTAATCTCCGGTTCAGATCTTCTGAGTCGGAACCCGACCGGCCACCCAACATCAGATAGAGCTGGGTGTCATCTGCATAATGATGACAACCCAGCCCATACCTCCTGGCAATCTGGGCGAGGGGGTGCATGTAGATGTTAAACAACATCAGGGAAAGCACTGCCCCCTGAGGCAGACCACACTCAAATGGGTGCCCCTGGGACTGCTGTTCCCCTATCGCCACCCTCTGTCCCCGACCTTGGAGAAAAGAGGCAAGCCATTGAAGAGTGAGCCCCAGTATCCCCACGTCAGTGAGACAGTCAGCAACTGGTGGTCTACCATATCAAACGCAGCCGACAGATCTAATAGCAACAGCCACACCACCTCGATCCAGTTGCCACTGGAGGTCATCAGTAAGGGCAACCAGCACTGTCTCTGTCCCATGACCCAGGCGAAAGACGGACTGGAATGGATCAAGGACAGAAGCATCATCCAGAAAGCTCTGTAACTGGGTCACCACTGCCCTCTCAATCACTTTGCCCAAATAGGGCAAATTAGACACCGGCCAATAGTTGGTCAATTCATCCGGGTCCAGAGTTGGTTTTTTAAAGAGAGGATGGACCATTGCTTCCTTGAGTGCCTCAGGGAACTGCCCCTCCGAGAGGGACTTGTTGACAATCTCCCTTACTGCACCTCGAAACCCATCGTGGCCCGCTTTCACGAGCCAGGAAGGGCGCGGATCAAGGCGGCATGTGGTTGGATGCACAGATACAAGCAGTCTGTCAACTTCCTTCAGACTGACTGGGTCAAAACATTCTAAACCTTGTGAAGACATGCAAGAGGCCTCAAGTTGGCTCACTGTTTCAACTGTGGCGGGGAGGTCACAGCGGAGCACCAAGACTTTGTCCACAAAATAGCTCGCAAAAGCCTCCCAGCCAATATCCAATTCCCTACTGTTTTGTCTGCCTTGTGGCAGAGCTGTCAAGGACCGAATTGTTCTAAACAATTGGGCTGGGCGTGAGCTCACAGACGCAATCGTGGCTGCATAGAATTCTCTCTTGGCAGCCTTGACTGCCACCTCATAGGATCTCATAAATGTTCTATAGGATGTTCTTGATGCTTCGTCGCGGGCATGCCACCACCGTCTCTCTAGCCATCTTAACTCTTGCTTCATAAGCTGCAGCCCCTGGGTATGCCAGGGGGCAAGCCTACAGCGAGGGCACAGAGGGTGCTGGGGAGTGATCTCATCAATGACTGTGGAGAGTCGGTTATATGAGTGTAGGACCGAGAACCTTGGTGGTGCAAGCTGGGAGAGACCTACAGCCTCCCCGTCCTGCACCCAGGTCTCGGTCATACATGCCAGGTCCACTTATTGTTCCGTGATGAAGTCCTGAAGGACTATCATCTTATTGTTGATGGACCTGGCATTACACAACACCAGTGGCAGAGAGGGGTTCCTCATCTTAGCCCCACTGCTGACCTCCCTCAGGATGGGTCATAGGATGGAAGGGCATTGAGCCATTATTTTTCTCGGCGCCCTTACCTTGATCTTCTGCCTAGAACCACCGCTAAACTTTCCCTTCCCCAAGAGCACTGGAATCTGCTGCTCCAGCATTTCTGCACTCGAAAGTAATCCAGTCCACTGGAATCCCCGTAGCGAAGATCAAATTGAGCGTGTGCCCGGCCTGGTGCGTGGGGATCGATACAAATTGAGAGAGCCCCAGTGTCGCCATGGACGAAACCAGGTCCGCAGCCTGGCTGGAGGTCGCATCATCAGCGTGGATGTTGAAGTCACCCAAGACCAGAAGCCTGGGGTGCTCCAGCGCCCAGCCTGATACGGCCTCCAGCAGGGACGGCAGGCTACTGGCCGGTGCGTTAGGTGATCGGTACACTAGCCAGATAGCCAAGTTCTCCTCGGTCCCCAGCACCAGGCCAGCACACTCCATGCCCACGATCTCCGGTGAGGGGAGGGCCCTGAAGGAGTAAGCCTCCCGAATGAACATCGCCACTCCTCCCCCCCGCCCCTTAGTCCGCGATTGGTGTAAGACCAAGAACCCAGGTGGGGCAAGTTGGGAGAGAGTAACAGTCTCCCCATCCCGCACCCAGGTCTCGGTCATGCACGCCAGGTCCACTTGTTGTTCCACGACGAAGTCCCGAAGGACTGTCATCTTGTTATTGATGGACCTGGCATTACATAACACCAATGACGGAGAGGGGTTCATCCTCCTAGCCCCACTGCTGACCTCCCTCGGGATGGGTCGTAGGCTTAAAGAAGCATATATGTTAATTGTTCATTAATATTGAAATTTACTGTATTTGTGAGACCTAGAGTTTAATATAGTCATACTGTTGTTGTTTGATACTGTTATTATCATTGTTATTTTTATTTTTATTTGAATTTTTTTAAAAAAATTAAAGAAATCTTAACACACATTATAACATATTAGAATCATAGAATCATAGTGTTGAAAGGGACCTCCAGGGTCATCTAATCCAACCCCCTGCACAATGCAGGAAATTCACAAATACCTCCCCCTCCACAGTGACCACTGTTCCACGCCCAGAAGATGACAAAAAACATCTGGGATCCCTGGCCAAATTGGCTTGGAGAAAAATTGCTTCCTGACTCCAAAGTGGCAATCAGCATTTCCCTGGGCGTATAACAAAGGGCCACAAGAACTAAGCACTAGGCAACCCTTCCTGCCCTCCCTCTCATGTTCTGCCTAAGTTCACCGAATCCACATTGCTGTCAGATGGCCATCTAGCCTCTGTTTGAAA